ATTGAAGTTATACAGTGGCTGGAGTATAATTCAGATGGTAGAGCAGCTGCTTAGGGTGTAACAAAGCCCCAAGTTCCACTCCCAGCACCATAAAAAAGGCACAGAAAAGTTTAAAGAGTAGTGTAGCAAATACCCATAATTTACAATATCAGTGTAGTAGATTGTTGCATTTTCTTCTGTACTACATCATGTTACTTTTTTGTGGTACAAGATTGCACCCAGGCCTTTACACTGAGCTACATCGCCATCCCTTTTTGTTGTTTTATTTTGTTTTTAGGACAGGGTCTCACTAAGTTACCCAGGGAGGACTTGAATTTGCAGTTCAGCTTTCACCTCCAAAGTGCTAGGATTACAGGCTAAGAAGGTTACCACATTGTCTTGAAATTTTGTCTTATTTTTTCTCTTTAAAGTAATTTTTAAAAGGCTAAGACAGGAGATCTACAAGTTCCAGCCTAGGCAACTTAGCACTCCACTGCTGAGTATACCCCAGCTCCTTGATCAGTCCTTCCTTCCTTTTTTAATTTTTTCTGGTCCTGATAGTACAAAGGGTGTAAACTAATTATTTTGTGAATGTCCCTCATGGATTATCTGTGTGTCTTCATAAGTACATGCAGATTTTTAAATTTTAAAAAGTTATATATTTTTTATTTCTAATACTTTACTTAGTTCTTTTTATATCTACCCATCCTTATTTCATAACTTCTTGCTTTGAACATTTTAAGAATCCTTATTTTAAAATTTCTTTGCGCCAGATGTGGTGGTGCACACCTTTTAATCCCAGCGCTTGGGAGGCCTAGGCAAGAGGATTGCTGCAAGTATAAGGCCAGCCTGACTACATAGTAAAACGAAGACTAGCCTGAACTACACAACAAGATCCTGTCTCAAAAAAAATATGCAAAAAAATCCTTTCAGATTGTCCTACCTATTCTTTCTACTGAACACAGGGCTGTATGCATTGTAGGTTAGCACTCTACTACTAAGCTCTGTCCCCAGCCCTTATTTTATTTTATGGCAGGATTTTGCTACATAGCCCAGGCAGGGGCTGCACTAAGATCTTCCTGGCTCAGATGCCTGAATACTGAGATTACAGGTATGTGCCACCACGCCCAGCCTGGCACTGGATTTCGTGTCTGTTTGTTTCCATGATCATGGAGCACATGTACGCCTGTCTTACTGATTGTCACACTCATATTTTTTTCACATTTTAATATCTCTACAATTGGATTTCACCTCTCGTTTGATGTGCCACACTGTTGTATCATAATTTAATTGACAGGGTCTTTCTGGCACCTACTGAGACCTGGGATGTGTTGACTCACATACCGCTTAATTTCACTAAGCAGTTTCTAGTGGATAGCTGCCCCCTCACGCTGTTTTTGACTGACTTCTTTATGCTGTTGTCTGTGTACTCCTCTCCAGAGCAGGTGTTCTCCTCGTGAGTCACACGTGTGCATTACCCATTTTTCGAAGGGCTGTGTCTGCTCCGGTCCAATGGAATAAACGCAGCCCAGCTGCGTGGCTTCCGGTGTCCTCCCCACAGCTGCGCCACAGGTTCTCCTGCGAGTAGCAGCTTTTCCTGCTCCTGGCTCGAGAGGGCCAGCTCGCTTGTGTCCGACACAGGCTGGCAGACAGCTGGTCTTTATCTGCAGATGGCGACGGTGCTCTCCTGGCTTTTAATTCTCCCTGTTCACTGAAGTCTACGCCTGGAGCCTCCCACCCCTTCTCGCTGTCCACAGCCAAGAGGCAGTCCATGTGGCTTTTTCTACTAGGTGTTTTCTGTGTCCTCTCAAATTCCGTCTCCAAACCTGGGGTGTGGAGTGGGGTCCACCTTACTCTCCTTCTCCTGTGTTCCCTTCCAGCTCGTGAGTTACAGGTTGGCCCTCGGTACCTTTCTGTGTTCTGATGTCACAGAATTTCCTTGCTGTGCCCGGTCCCTGCCTGGACCTCTTCCCATGTTCTCCCTCTCCTGTCCTGAGCCTTAGATGCAAAGCGCTGAGTTTCCCACGCTAAACTTTATGGGACAGCCAGGTCATCATCCCTTCCATTACCCTTCTCCCCCACATCGAGGCATTTTTCCTTTCCTGTCAAAACTTCCATTCTCCTCTGCCAAGGCCCTTTTTCTGTGTTTGCCATTTCTTTTGCAGTGTGTATCTCTGAAGACTGCAGTATTTTTTGGCAGTTATATAATTTATATTCAAATATTAATAGTAATTTATTTTGTATTTCTTTTCTATACATTTCTTCACTTAGCACAGAGGTTGGCAAGCTCATGAACCAGTTCTGGTTCGCATCCTGTTCTTACAAGTAAAGTTCTACTGGAGCACAGCCATGTCCATTACACATTTACAATAATTTAGATATTGCCCTTGACTGCTCTTGTGTGTGTCTAAAGCAGAGCTGAGTAGTTATGCAGGCAGTATTTGGCCCATAAAGTTAAAATACTTATGATCCTTCGCATGTTGGCCTCTGACCTAACCCAGAGTTTTCTTCCTTTTTTAAGAAACTGTGGTAAAAGGCACATAATACAAAAAGTACCATTTGCCTTAACCATTTTTAAGGGTACAGATTATTGGCACTAAGTACATTCACACTGTCATGCAACCACCATAATTATCTGGCTTAGTTCATTTTCCATTGCTGTCATTGAATACTATGTACTCAAAACTGGCAAAGAAGTCTGTTTAGCTGAAGTTTCTGGAGGCTGGGAAGCCTTAGATCACAGTGTTGGCATCTGCTCAGTGCCTGGTGAGGGCCTTCTTCCTGCATCGAAGTGTGGAGGACATCAGGTGGTGCCAGAGCAAGACTGCCAGAGAGAGCTCGCTTCTATAAACAAAGTCTGCTACCTCAGTAACCCCTGAATCCGCTGTTAGTCTGTCATTCCAGGAGGCCTCTGCTCCTGGGATATTATCTTCTCCCAAAGAGTCTACCTCCAAATGCCATTAGGGCATGACTTTAGTGATTAGATTTCTAACTTTGAATGGTTGAATTTGTGAGACACACTCATCTATCTCCAGCCACTGAGATTTTGCACCTATTAAACTTCCTATCCCTTCTGTCCCACCCTCAGCCCTTGGCTAGCATTGTCTTACTTTTTATTTCTGTGAGTGTGACTCCTCTTGATAGCTTGCATAATTGGAATTATTTAGCATTGGCCTTTTTCTGATTGGATTATTTCGCTCAGCATAGTGTCCTCAAGGCACATCCAGGGTTGCAGCATGCATCAGGATTTCCTTCCTTTTGAAGGGTAGCATTTCTTTGTGTGTGTAAACCACATTTCTTTTATCATTTCATCAGGTGATGGATATATGTGCTGTTTCCATCTTTTAGCTATTTAATAAAACTTATATGAGCAGGGCTGTACAAATATGTCTTCAAGATGCTGACCTCAGTGAGCTGTGCTGGTGTTTGCCTGCGATCGCAGCACCCAGGAGGGTGAGGTAGGAAGACCACAAGTTTGAGACCACCCTGGGCCATAAAGCAAGTCTGAGGCCAGCCCACACTACACAGTAAGATTGTGTTTAAACACACACACATGTGTGCACAAGACATGCACACACACACACACACACACACACACACAGTTGATTTCAATTCTTTACATACCCAGAAGTGAAATTGCTGAGTCATTTGATATTCTATTTTTAATTTTGAAGAACCTGTATACTATTTTTTCTTTCTTTCTTTCTTTCTTTTTTTTTTTTTTTGGTACTGGGGATTGAACTCATGACCTCACGCTTGCCAGGCAGGCGCTTATGCCGCTGAGCTAAATCCCCAGCCCCTGTATACTACTTTTTAATAGCAGCTGCAGTTTTTACATTGCCACCAACAGTTCACAAGGGTTCTATTTTCTCTATATCCTTGCTAACCTTTGTTGCTTACTATATTTTTTATTTTTTTGGTACTGGGGATCGAACTCATGACCTCACACTTGCCAGGCAGGTGCTTGTGCTGCTGAGCTATATCCCTGGCCCTACTTACTGTATTTTTTAATAGACATTCTAATGGGTGGAAGGTAGGTATTAATTCATGGTGGTTCTGATTTATATTTCCCTATTGTTAGTGATATTGACTATCTTTATTTCTTTCTTCTTGTTATTATTTTTTGGTACCAGGGATCAAACTCATGACCTTGTGCTTTCCAGGCAGGCACTTGTGCTACTGAGCTAAATCCTTGGCCTGATATTGCATATCTTATCATATACTTGTTCATTTGAATATCCTCTTTGGAGAGATGTCTATCCAAATTATTTGGCTATGTTAAATTTTTTGTCATTTCTGAGGTGTAGAAGTTGCGTATACACACACATGTAAATATATATTAGTATGATATATAGGTACCCTTATCAGATATATGATTTTCTTCTATTCCATGGGCTACCTTTTCACCCTGCTGATTCTGTCCTTTAAGGCATAGAAGCTCTTACTTAGTTTTGATGTAGGTCTAATTTACCTATTGATTGCTTTGGAGCACAGTTTCAATACAGTGTCTGGCCAAAGTTAGGTGCAGGAGGAGGGATAGTCCCAGATTTTCAGAAGGCCGAGGCAGGAAGATTGCTTGAGCCCAGGAGTTTGAGAGCAGCCTGGACAAAATAGATCCTCTCCCCAAAACAAAACAAAACAAAACAAAAACCAACTATTATGCTGTTAAATATTTCTGCCTCCAGTGCTGTGCAGTGATCATACTTTACTTCTCTAAAGCTCTCCTTGGTATCTCCCAAATCTCCCAATTACTATCTGCCACAGTAAATCCAATGTATTTTGTATGGAGCAGCACAGAAATTTCTCTGCCACTTACGCCCAGGAGTGGCATGCATGGGTGACAGGACATAAAAGTACTTTAGTTTTACTAAACACTGCCAGTTTAGTGTCTGCCGCCTCAAGCTCCAGTCCTCTTTATATTTTGCTAGAGAACTGAGGTCACCCCTAGTCTCTGGTCATGGGGGAAGAAGCAGGTGGATGAGAGAGAATGGCTGCTGTCTGTTTTCTCCTCTGTCCTCCAGGCTGGACTAGGGAGTGCTTCCAGGAGTGGGGCTCCTACATCCACCTGGCTGTTCCCAGCATGTTCATGGTGTGCATCGAGTGGTGGACCTTTGAAATCGGGACCTTCCTGGCAGGTTAGTCAGCATTCCACAAAGACCTAGACAAAACCTGCAAGTCCTGTTGCCTAGAAATTTAATTTTGCTTCTCCATCCTGTTCCATTTTATCAGGCTCAAAGAAAGGTTTGCAATAAAGGCTAAAACCCTTGGCCAACTGCAAACATATTCAAGTTGTATGGGGCTCTAGCTTAGCTCTAGAGTATTCCTTCATTTTGTAAATGAGGAAAAGACAACACTGGTGAAGAGTTCTCCCATGGAGCAGAGCAAAATCCCCAGCCCAAGGTTCTGTCGGGTGCCTTGTCCTTCAGCTGACTTTTTGCTAGGCTTCTACTCAAGGTTTTAAGACTTGAATAGATGTATGGCTGACATGGCTCTGTTTAGGCTATGACCTGTGTTATGGCTTGTATCTAGATGTCCTGCCAAAGTCTCATGCACTCGTAGGTGGGACTTTTCAGAGGTGGCTGGTTATAGGGCGTGTGATACTTGGATTAAGTTGTGTGATGCTAGGGTTAAGAGTGGGTGATTATTAAGTTAGTTCTCTGATTGATTAAGCATAGTGCTGGGAGTGGGCTCTGAGAAGGCCTACTTTGGGTGTGGGTGGCCCATTCAAAAGGCAGGTAACCTGGAAGGGCAGGAGAGAGAGGCTTCTGTCTCACTGCTCATTGCTGTTCCTGCTGCTACTGCTGCTTGTTGCTGCTTTGTGCTTTACTGCTTTATGCCTGCCCGGCTTTGCCATGGACTGTTTCTCCTCTGCAGTGCCCCTCAATTAATGCTGTAACTCTTCCTTTGATCCAACAAACTATTGACTTAAACCTCTAGAAACTAAGCTGAAATAAACCTTTCCTCTTTTAAGTTTGAGTGTTAGGTATTTTGTCCCAGTAACAAGAAAAGTAGCACAGACAGATTTGGGTACCAAGAGTGGGGTCATTGCTGTGACATTACCTTTGTATGTGATTTAAGAACCTTTTAAACTGGCTCTTGGAAAGAGTTTGGAATTGTTTAGAGATACTGGCTATAGCCATGGAATGCTTCAAGCTGTATTTGATAGGAGATTCTGGTCAGAGCTGAGGAGACCAGAATGCTGATTGAAATGCAGCCAGGAAAGACTCAGGAGGTTTCACTTAGGAAACTGCATTGCACAAAGGACTGCATTGGCTGTTGGAATCCAGACCTTATGTGCTATAGTTTGGAAGAAAATTTGCTCATGACCAGAGACTTTGCCTGAAACTGAAATGAATGACAGCAGACTAACTTAACCTTGCAGAAGAAATTTCAAGGTAGTCTAATGTTGAGGCAGTGGCATAGCTACCGTTGGGGACTTTTAGGCAGATCTGTGTTGAGAAACAAGAGCAAAGAGCTCAGTAGAATGATTTAAAACATTTTGTTCTTGGCCAGAAGGGAAGCTGCAGTAAGTCTGTGGACTACAAAGATGGAGAAGAGGAAAGCTTAGTTGCCAAGAAGGAAGAGGATAGTAGAAAAGATGATCTAAGGAGCCAGACACAAGAACCAGCAAAACCCCACCATTTGCAATCTCAAAACTGCAAAGGTGAAAGACTTTCCTTTGAGAAGATACTGTAAAGGCAAAACTGTACAAGAGAAATTGTTCTTTTAAAAAACTTTGTTCTTTTAAAACTGCCTAGCTCTGTAACTGCTTCATGGCTTTGTAATTAACTTTCTTGACCCTTGTAACCAGAGAGCATAACTGAACATACAAAATGCTTGATTGAACCATTATACCAGGCTTCGTAAGCTGATGACCATTAATCTACCCTTGTAACTGATAATCTCATCCTGTTAGCTAATGAGAAGAACTCCCAGGCTCTTCTGTTCTCCTCTGTACCCATTTTGAACCTCCTGCTTGTGCATCATATAAAAGCTATAGTCCACCAGCGATTAGGACCTGATATTCTGGGAGTGTTCTCAGTCAGTGCTCATTGATGTAAGTAAATCTGCCTCCAAATTGGGGATGTTGTTTCAGTGTTTCTGCTTGCCATTGCAATACTACCAGAGCACCATAGACTGGAATGGCAGCATCCTAGAGAATTCCTTAGGATGGGGTTCAGAGTGCTCAGCAATTCAGGTACTTAACCCCTATAGCAAGAGAGGAGGAAGCCTGGCAACTGCTCTAGCTGGCAGCAGACTTTGGTGTCATCCACATGATGCTGATTTTAGGGACATGCTGAATGCAAGAGTTGTGGGATCAGAAAGGTTTCTACCCAGGTTTCAGAAGCAGCCCTGGGAGGCCAGTGTGGGCCTGAGAGGGCAGTGGGTGAAGCTGTGCATGTAAAGCTGAAGATGCAGTGGAGACCTCAGAAGGTTGGAAAAATGAGGAATGTGGATCATCTGAGGAAAGCCACAAGGAATGAGCAAAGCCAGCCCAAATGAAAAGCTATGGGAGCAGCAACCACCCACAGTGCCACAGGGTTAGAGCCATCCAAGACCTTTGGAATTCACATCATGCTACAGATTTCCTTGGAGACTGGACATGAAAATATAGGATTTAATGTTTGCCCTGCTGTATTTTGGACTTGCTTTGATTCCATTCCTTTCTATTCCCGTATTTGGAATGGGAATATTTATCTTGTGCCATTGTATTTTGGAAGTCTTTAACTTCCTTTTCATTTGTATAGGAGCTCACAGCTAAGAGTTTTCCTTAAATCTCAGAAGAGACTTTGACTTGGACTCTTCAGCAATGCCAAAACTTTTAGGATTTTAGTAACTCTTGGAGATGAACTAAATGACATTTGCATGAGTCTTTTGGGGGAAGTGTTATGACTTGTAACTGGATGTCGCCCCAAAGCCTCATGCTCTAACAGGTGAAATTTTTCAAAGGTGACTGGATCTAGGATGTGATGCTAGGATTAAATTGTCTGATGCTGGGATTAAGTGTGCATGATTACTAAATTAGTCCATTGATCGGTTAATCATAGTTCTAGGTGTGGGTAAGGGGAGGGCCTATCCTGGGTGTGGATGGCACTATTCAAAAGGGAGATGTCCTGGGAAGGATAAAAGGGAGAGGCTTCTGTCTCACTGATGCTGCTTCTTTGGTCCTTTACTGCCTTCTCCCTGCCCTGTTTCGCCATGGGCTGTTTCTCCTCTGCAGCGCCCCTCTGCCATGCCACTCTGCCTTAGATCCAGCCAGCTATAGACTGAAGCCTCTAGAAACTGTAAGCTGAAGTAAACCTTTCTTCTTTTAACTTTGGGTGTTAAGTATTTTGTCCTAGCTACTAGAAAAGTATCAAAGACCACCTATGTTTCTACCAGAATTCTAGTGATTTCCATCACTGTATGTAGAGTCCTGTTGCCATCCTGTCTTCCTCCCACCACATGAACTCAAGTTTTCTAAGAATGATCTGCAACTCCAGAAGCCTGTTTTTTTTCTGCCTTGACTCCAGGGTGGGTAGTGAGGTAGAAGCTTGGGCAATAAGCCTGAGATCTTGGCAACTCCCTAGGAAAAGAAGTCTCATTCCTCAGCAGATGGTGAATTTTATCATCAGATCATGCTTCTGGGACTTTCTTGGCTTTTCTTAAATTAAAATGTTTTCTTAAAAAGAAATGTTTGCTATAATCCACTCTTTGAGATATGTTCTGTGTGTATTGATATTTCAGGACTGATTAGTGTGACAGAGCTTGGAGCCCAGGCTATCATTTATGAACTGGTCTCTGTGGCCTACCTGGTAAGAATCTTGGGGTGAGTCGGTACCTTCTCTGTGTTTGTTATTATGGGGTGGGGGAGAGAGAGAGTCATTCAGACAGAGAGAGAGAGACAAAGAGAAAGAGAAAAAAAGAAGAAATGAAGTAGAGAGAGACGATAGCAGAAATGCCTTTCCGCCCTTCCCAGCCTGTACACTTAATTTTGTTAGTTGCCAGGTAACAGTTCCAGCTCCAGGTCCTGTTTGTTTCTTAGAGGCTGGTCACTGTGACGCGTATTGTAAAAACCAATCAAAGACAGTGCAGTACTCTGCCTTTGCAGTTCCCCTTGCAGACCGCATGAAAACCTCCCTCCCTGAGTCTTTGGGGCTTGATATTTTGGGAATGGTCCCAATCGTTCCCAAAATAAATAAATCTGCCTTGGAATCCTGGGCGTCATTTCAGTGTTTCTGCTTGTCATTGCAAGACCAGACACATAGGTTTGCAGTCTGGCCATGTCTTTCCTTGACTGTGTGACAAGGGGTCTCAACCTTTCTGAACTTTAGCTTTTTCATATAAAATTGGGGAAGATAACTACATTGCAGGTGAAGACTGAATGAGATACTGCACGTAAAATACTTAGCTAGATGCCTGGTATATTCATTCAACAGTGTCTCGATCGGTACTGGGTTATGGTGGTGAGTGAGATGGAGAGATAAAGAAGAAAATAGATTTTAAAACAAGAAAATAGGTGAGTGAAGGCATTCACTGCAAGTCTCATGCTCGTGTGGTCAGTACCATGAAAGGGGTTACAGAGGCTCTGAGGAGCATAGGCACAGAAGTGGACACCTTTTAGACAGGGTGCTCAGGGAGTATCTTTCTGCACTGCTGTTTAAGGCCTGAAAGATGAGAGCAGTGGGCCTGGGCTGCCCGTGGCTGGGAGCAGCTGTGAAGCCAAGGCAGAGGCTCAGTGAGGAGCAGCACTGGCACTGAGGGTTGGTGAGGAGGTGATGGGTGGCTGGGGGCTGCCTGCGCGCAGGACTGAGGAATAAACCATTCTTGCTGTGGTGTAGCTGGCTTGGATCCGGGGACACAGTGGAGGTGGGAGTAGGGAGGAAGCCGGGGTGGGCAGTGAGGAGGCGGCTGAGGAGGACAGAGGTGGATGAATGAGGCACACGGGAGGCAGGACTGACTGGCCATGGTCTGCGTGGGGGACTGTGAGGTGAGGGGTGAGGAAAATTGTGTTCAGCTGGACATTTTCCGGTAGCTGTTTTGCTATTGCAGCGCGCTCAGATGGGCTGTGTGTTGACTGTCTGGCTCCTCGTCTCCTCTTCCTGCTTCCCGCCCCTAGCTGGTGCTGAGGATGGGACCCGCGGTCTTTGCACTGAGGCACATCCGCAGCCCTTCCCTAATTTCTAATTTTATAAGATCACAGAGGGTTTAGGTGCTGTTTTAGCTTCCCCAATTGTTTTTCATCTTAAGAGCGAATAGAAGTTGACAGGCATTGACAGGGGCCTCCTTAGGAAGGGAGACAGTCGCTGAAGTCACCACAGTCTGCGCACTGGAGACCCTGACAAGTGGCAGATGAAATTAATTTTCCTTGCTCTCATCAGTTTGTCAAAATCATACCATATTTTGGTTTGTTTCATATTTAGGCCAGGACTTTTCTTGTATGGCTTTTAGTTTATGTGTCTGGCATCTCTAACAGTCTTTATTTCTTGTTGACAGAAACAATGAGGCGTCACTACCTTACAAGGTCACCCAGAATTTAAACACAGCGTTGAGCGCCAATCCAGTTTTCTTCCTTAAACACTGACCGGCTCCTTGATCCCTTGTTCAACTTATACACACTGATTCATAGATTTTTTTCTAGAGTTCTATGGAGCTGTCACTCCAAGATTTCTTGCATTCTCCTCATGAATTAAATCTAGTTTCTTTGATCCCATTTTTTCCTAAGATTCTTTGAAATTTTTTAAATTAAAAAGTGTCCTAAGATTATATGAAAGGTAAAATATGAAGCATTCACATTTGAGAATCTTTATTCTTCTTTTGCTGTTTTAATAGTTTGGTGGAGTATAGAATTCTGGATTCAAAATAATTTCCCTCAGAAGTTTGAAGCCACTGCCCCATGGTCTTCAGACATTCAGAGTTGTTCCTTATCTATGTGGTTCTGAAATTTCACAAGGATGTGTTCCTTAGAGGACATTTTTTACTTCTATTTAGTACTTGGGATGCTCTCTCAAAGCTTTTGATGTTCTTTAACTCTGCGAAATTAAAAATATATTTGTATATGTATATGTAACTTCTCCCCTTTCTGTAAGCTTTTTCTATTCTCTCTTTTTAAGTTTCCTTGTAGGTAGAGTCTGATCTCCTTCATTAATCTGCTAGATTTCCAAGAGCAAACTTCTTACTTTTGACCTTTTTTTTTTTTTACATTAAAGAAAACTCTTTTCCTCCTTCCCTCACCCTGAAACTGGGTCTCATTAAATCATTAAGTTGCCCGGGTTGGGCTTGAATTATGATCCTCCTGCCTCAGTCTCCCAGAGTGCTGGGATTACAGGCCTGCACCACCAAACTGGTTTCTTCTTTTATGCTACGCTATCTTTAATTATCTCTGAGGATACTAAATCAACGTTAAATATTCTCTTCTGACCCTTGAGCCTCTATTGACTTCCTCTGAAGTTAATTGCTCTTTTATTTATTTTGATCTTTAGGGAAGATGTGTGCTGCAGTTTTCCTCAAAGCTCTGGTGCTCTTGATCATCTGTTTATTCTTATGAATGAATGAATGAATGAATGAATGAATGAATATGTTGATTTATAAAATAAACGGCTGGTGTAATGTTCCTTTCCCCTCATTTGGAAGTCTTTCTCCAACAGATCCTTTTCCACTAGGAAGGACAGAAAGTGGGGAGCTCCATGCAGAGGTGACATCTGTCCAGTGATATCTTCATTTCAGGGTTCACAGACCAGAAGCACAGAGAGGCAGTGTGACCGCCTTGCCCCCGTGTGTACCCCCATAAAAGCAGGGCACTCGTTCCACATGGGGAGGCCGCAGCCTTTTCCTCTCTGTGTGTCTCTGCCGTGTGTGTTGAGTGCGAGGAAGGTTCCTGCAGGCTGAGGGGGCCCCTAGCAGACGCGGACTGTGGGAGCTGCAAGACTAGCGCTCCCCAGTGAAGAAGGGCTGTGATCGGCCTTCTGCGTGCGTGCTGAGCTGTGGCTTCCCGTACTTCTCCCCAGGATCCTGCAGTGGCACCTGCTTTTCCTCTTCCAAAGCTGCTCTGCTTTTTCATTCTCAGTGCTGTTAATGAATTTCCCTTCCACCAAGCACTGACATTTATTTTCTACCAACGGTGTTGAAGGAGGGAAGAGAACTAAGCCATGCACTCACCGTGCAGCAGAACTAGCAGCCAATCCTATGTGCTTCGGGTGCACAAGTCCTGTATATTTCTATATGTTGAGTCAAAAATTTAATATGTGTTTCTATCAGTTTGGCTTAGGCTAGTTTTCAAAACAAATTAGGAGGCTGTTGAGAGGATGCTGCTACTAGTAGGAATGAGAAGTTAAGTAAATGTATAAATTGTTAAAAGCCAAAACCAGCGCTGTCTTTCTGTATGATCCATGTCACCCAAATAGCCCAAGGGCAGCACTGTTGCAAGCTAAGTGGGGACAGGCGGGCTGTCAAAGGATAACTCTGAAGATTCAGTTGTGACCTATTAAAAAACAGAAAAACTTACAGCTTTAGAGTTCTATAATCAAATGCCGCAGCTGCGGCATTTGAAGGGGCACCTGTTCTGGTTGGCTGGATGGTCAGACATAGCCACAGGATCTGTCAGCCTTTATGGAGTCGTAGAATGTGTCAGGCTTCGTGCTAAGTGCTTTTTCACCTGATTCCTCCAAGCTTATGAACAACATATGTATTTATATTGTTAACTCTTACCTTGTAGAATGCAGCTAGCTTGAATTAAGTCATGATTATTTGTGTGTAGTCTATGAAGAAGATATTTTGCCCCCAAATGCAGCTTCCTTAAGGGGTTCTACTCTGGTATGTGGGCAGCAGAGAGCAGTCAGGGAAGCTGCTCCACTCATTCACCAGTGAAGAAACGGGGTGTCCAGGAAGCTAAGCAGTTTCACTCTGGCCGGGTGGCAGTCTAGGATCGGCTCTAGAACCCAAGTCACTGGGCCCATCTTAACTTCCCATGGAGGTAGTTCACTAATACTTGAATTTTCAGGATTTTTATTGTGACTTATGATTGTTAATTCCTAGGTGCCCCTTGGCTTTGGTGTGGCTGCCAGTGTCCGAGTGGGCAATGCCCTGGGGGCTGGGGATGCTGAGCAGGCCCGGTGCTCCTGTACCACTGTCCTCCTGTGTGCTAGTGAGTATGGCCCTTCTGCTCCCCAGGGTCTGTGTGGAATTTATTGTGATAGGTTAAAATCAACATGTCAGAATTTCTCCTAGGAACAGAACTACACATCTATAAAATCTTTATGCTTCGTGTTCTAATTCACTAAGTTAAATAAATCTTCTAATCATAATTTTTTATTAGGTAACATTAATGACATTATACTTGGTACAACTGAAATAATTTCAACAGCAATTGTTATAATGCAGTCTTATTTTATGACCACAGCCTGAGGGATGCATTTTCTGTGTTCCTGGACTATTGCCACCTCTGGCAGTATAATGTCCTGGAATCTGAGCAATTAGAAAGGATTTTGAGAAGTATGTGTGTTCCACTGTAATAGAATACCTGAGATAGGTGACCCTCAAGAGCAAAAGCTTATTTCCCACAGCCCCAGAGAGTAGCAATTCCAAGATGCAGGAACCAGCAGGACTGCTCTGAGGTGAGAGCTGCTGGCTGCTTCCAAGATGGCAGCTTGATGACGGGTTCTTCTGAGGGGAGACAGTGTGTCCTCACATAGGGGGAAGGAAGAATGGTGAGAGGGGGGCCAGATGCAGTCTGTCTAGCCCTTGTTTAAGGGCACCTAATGCCATCCATGGCAGCAGAGTCCTTGTGATTCGTCACCTTCCCTAGGCCACAGCTCCCCATGCTGTTGAATTCAGGATTGAATTTCAACATGAATTTTGGAGAAGACAGAATCATTTGAACTATAACAACTGTTGAGAATATTTCCTATTAATATTCCTTTTAAAAGTTTCAGAATTGTCAGATGGCTTTTTCCTAAATAGTACAAAGAAACGCTATTTACATTATAGCTTTTTTTTTTTTTGGTCTTTTGAGATGGAGTCTCACTGTGTTGCCCAGGCTGATCTCTAACTTGTGGGTTGAAGTGATTGTACTGCTTCTGCCTCCCCGTAGCTGGGATTACAAGTGCTTCTTTGATTACCGATGCAAATCTTTGAGGAGAAATCAGCTCTAGGGTTTACCGCTGGAGAACTGTGACGCCTGGCTGCCTCTCCCCTGTTTTCCAGGTGTGTGTGCGCTTGCAGTGGGAATTCTCCTCACAGCTTTGAAGGATGTGGTTTCCTACATATTCACCAGCGACAAGTATGCACTCGTTCAGCAAAGTATCTGATTTGGTTTGATGCTTTCATCAATTTTCCTGATTATGAGAGGCAGGTAGCCTTGAAACTTGCAGTGAAACCAGTAGTGAGAAGCACGGCGCTAAAGTTAAGTGGGCTGGAATGGAAAAGGCCCATGGACAGCATCCCTGCTCCTTTAGTACCCAGTACATTTACTCACGGGACTTAAGTGTAGCTTTGGTCAGATACATAGAAAAGGCACATGGCATATCCTCACCACCAGGGGGCGCCACACACAGTCCATGGCATGCTGACCACATCCACTCCTGGTTCTTTCTGAGCTGTATTTGCAAAACTCACTGATCTAATTTTAAGCTAAAATTTTATTGTATTTTCTGTCACAATGTTTACATAATTTCGAGGTATAATAAAGTGTCTTTTAATAAAAATCTTCATAGCCAGGGGTATGGCTCAGTGTAGAGTGCTTTTTTATGAAAAATGAATTTGCATTTCAGTTTCCCCTAGTGAAGAAACTCAGTTTTATTCTTTTTAAGTTGTGCTCTCTAGTCTCATCTAACCTCACTGGCCCTCAGTCAGTGCTTAAACATGCTCTCAAAATTTTAGGTCTAAGGAAGGAGTCAGAGGGACTCATAGAGACTAGATTTTCCTTTCTACCTGAATAAGAAACCAGATTTAAAAAACAGATATTTTTAAAAATGGTTTCAGCCATTGAAAAATAGCCAAGTAACTCCTGAGAGCGTAATAAGATGAGGAGGCCCTGTGATTGCCTCGGTTACTGGGAGAGAGTTTCTAGACCAGGAAAGTAGAGTACTGGCGAAGACTCTGTACCCCTGGGCTGAGGAAATAGAGTTGAGAGTTCAGGGAGGCCGTGTGGCTGGAGTTCACAAAGCGGATCGCCCGTGAGGAGAGGCCTCACAGAGAGAACGCTCGAGCTCTTCCGAGGGTCTCGCTCGCATGTGTAGCTGACTGCTGAGACATGCACGTGTGTGTGTGCAGGGATCCTACTTTCCTACTTGAGAATGGGGAAATGCCTAACAGGAGGAGCCAGGACAATTCCTGAAGTTTAAGGGCCAGGAAAGGTTTGTGTTCCCACCTGCCAGAATGAAACAATCCTGTTACATAAGAGTTACCAGAAGGGTGTTGCCTGGGTAGCAGAGGAAAAGGAGCCCTAGAAATGAAGAGGGCTCTGATTTTGCCTGCTAAAAACTACCAATTTCCAGGAAACTGAGCCGCATAGAACTCAACTGCACCAAAGCTCAGGGGTATTTAAAATAATGTAAGAAAATGCAGTTTCCAGCCAGGTAAATTTCACAGTGCCTAGCATACAATTAAAAACTACCAGGCACACAAAGAAGCAGACACCTAAAACTAACAGTGAAGAGAAGCAATCAAACTGATCCAGAGCTGAGACAGAGGAAACAACTACTACACACAAGATGTTAGAACAGTTTTTGTAACTATGACCACATTCTCCAGAAGGTAGATGAAGAAAGCACTAGCGTGAGGCATCAAGGATAGCAAAACAAAACCAACGGAATTTCTGGAGTTAAAAATAGTCTATGGTGAAAATATATGGATGATGTTAACAACAGATTAGACATTGTAAAAGAAAAGATTAATGATCTTGAAGATGTTGTATTTATAAATTCCCTACATGAAATGCAAAGACAAATGACCGAAGAGATGAATACAGCATCAGTGAGTTGTGAACGAGCTAGAAAGCATGTGACTGGTGCTCCCAAAGGAGAGGAGAGTGAGGAACTAATACCAAAAAGTCTAAGCAAATTTGGTAAAAATATTAGGTTTAAAGGAATCTAAAAGAGCTACTCATGTGACACAGGGATTCCCCCATAATATTCTTACCGGACTGTGCAGTTTACTCGTACTTATGACCTCGGTGATGAATAATCTGCTGCCTGCCAAGGCGGTGTTGAGTCTTAGGATGCTGTGCTGCCTTCGAGCTGAGCTCTTCCTTCTTCTAGTAACCCTTGCCCACTGATACGCGCGGAGCTTTGATCCTGAACCAGCCTATCGTTTCCTGAGGTACAGCCTTTCCAGTGTTTGCAGGTGGCTCTGGTGCTCCACAGGGGCCTCTCTTCTGCATGACAGAAGCCTGCAATTCCTTCCTCCGTTTCTATGGAATATGATTTGAGTCTCAACCATCTTAAAATCACACGAGCCTGGAGGTGGCGTCCTTAGTTCCCTAGCACCATTAGGGCAGAACTGTGTCTTCTATGCCTACATTTACCTGTAGACGCCAGTGCAGTACTGTTTGGTGGCTGTGTTACTCCAAGACATTTCGTCCCACCACTGTGCCGTGATATCCCTGCTCTTCCTTCCTGCCATCATCCTCTTGAAGCCAAGTGCAGGATCTTACATGTGGATTTGTTGATTGTTTCACTTTTTATTTATCTTGACACTTTTGGTTCCTGATTACATCACTTAGGTGTCTTCCGGCTTCTGGCATCTGTGCATTTGATACACTTTTATGTCTGCCCCCAGCCTTTCTTGCCAAGCATTTGGTTAGTCTGTCCTTTACACCAACCGTTAGCCCTCACCTCAGGCAGCAGCGACCAAAACATTGCCAGTATGTGCCTTCAGCAGACACCCCTCACAGCTCAAGGTTAGCACTGGGCAGCTTTGAGTCAGGAAAAGTGAAGGCGTGTAGGGAGTACTAGGAAACCACCAGACACGAGGCCTGTCTGGCAAATCACAGCTATTGTTTTGGCAGGCAGCACTGAGGGACCCGATTTTCCTCCGCTAGCTACAGACCACTATAGATAGACTGTTCAAGGTGACCACTGGGCTGGGAGCAAGGGAACAGTACCAGGGTCCAAATTAAACCACCACAGTTTGCTGTTCTCACAAAATTTAGGCACCTGTCTTAAATTACGGCCCCTGGGTGCCTGCAAGCCTTGGGTTAATTTCTAGAGTTTAAAAAAATTGATAATATTTTCCAGTTTCTGATAAGTTTTCTTTTTCCTGTGGGGCAACCCTTTCTTGTTTTTGGGTGTGCTTTGCAATTTCTTTGTGAGAGCTGGACGTTTTCAATAATGCGGTACAGTAGCTGTGGGAATCAGATTCTCTTCCTGCCCCTGTCATTGCTGTCCTGGCTTACTGAGGACTACAGGTCCGCATTTGTTGAGTATCCGTGGAGGATCGTTATCCTCCTTCATACAGGAGCGGATTTCCATGTAGGGTTTACAAAGACTAGATGGCCCCATACAGATACCTTTAATTAAGTGCTTTGATGTGGTAAGTTTCTTTTTTGTTTTGAATATTATGTCTTTTAAAATTCTTTGATGGGCCATCAGTTAATCCCTGGTTGATCAAAACACACAGCTCCGACTTTTGGGGGATAAGGTGCTTATTTCTGTAGCCTAGTGCCGGGATGTTACACGGGATCCCTGCAGCTGTCCGCTGTGGGACTGGGAGACGGGAAAGTGTAGCACACGCCAGTCTCTCCGTCAGTCCCCATCGCTGCAGGTGGACTCCAGCCTTCATAAATAGCTGTGCTGACGTTTCTTGGAGCCTAGTGATTGCTATGGTAAAGAGACTGATTCTTGAGCTTCCTACTGTGCCATCGTCCCCAATGTCACCGGGCCTGAGACTTCTCACGCCTATTAGGCTCCCATTCGTTTGTAGGAGCAAACTTTGTCCTGCAAGTCTTTAGTTATTATTTTTGCCTTTGGCTGTGGTTAAATGTAGGTAAATCCTTTTTTCTTTTGTTCTGCTTCTCACCGTGTAGACTTTAAATATAAACTATTGGATTTCCTGGTGTTTTTTTTTTTTTTTTTTGGCCTCCGGAATGCTGGGATTACAGTGAATTTCCCTTTTGATCCAGGAAATTTATCATTTTTCTCTTTTAAATTTACTTCCTTCTGTGCATGTTTCTTTTTTCTCTTTATAAAAATGCTTTTCAGATGAACGAGAGAACTTATGGATCAGTCTCTTTTGTCTCTCGGTTTTGGGACATGTCTTCAACTTTATTTTCCAAGTTGAAATTTAGTCTTTAGTCATGCATTATCTCATTTTTAAGTACAAAGTTTGATGTTTATTGTTCACATTTTTCATCTCCAATCACTTTTGCCCAAGCTGCACTTTTTTCTTATTGCTTGTTGCTAGCTTACAAACGTCTGCGAGAGTAGCAGTTATACTTTAAGCAACTTTCTCGTACGTTCCTTACATTCTCAGGTTCCTTCTGTGTCAGCATGCATTTTATTTTGCCTTCTCTCTCTCTCTGTTATTGTTTTTCCTGAGCATCTTGTGAGCGTTGGTTCTGTGAAAGACCACACTGTTTGGTTGCTGAGTAGAACCAGTGCAAATGTGAGGGGACCGTAGTCCTGTGAATCTCAGCTAAGGGGGTCATGGTGCTCTCACGGTGAGGGCCACTGCAGGCCATGAGTGACTTCACCACAGGCTCCCCTGGAGGGCGCGTGGGAGGGAGGAGGAAGTCTCCCATTCCCAGGGAGGCACTGTGGCCTACTCCACAGATTATATAAGCACTGGACCCACAGAGCACGTGTCAGTCACCTCTGTCCCTACTGTGTCCTCTCCAGAGCCTCCTAGCACACCCCCTGTAGACATTCAAGCAGATCTTCCAAGGGCGTTCAGAGAATCCATGAGGGGGCAAACATTTCCTACATGAACACTTTTCAACTCCATTTTTAAAGAAGGGATACAGAGGATTCCCTGTATGGGGGCTGAACCCTGATGCTTTTTCTTTTGCTCCATTCCCTGTTTTTATCCATCCACAAATGGAGCTTTAAGCATTGCCCACTAAAGTGGTAGCCTAACCATGTCCCCTTTAATCTAAGATCTATAGACAGTGAATTAGTGAAAGTTTGACTTAGTGAAGTTTTATTATGTACTTACTTTGTCAAAAAGAAATGTACTATTTGCACTGAATTTTCTGGTTTGTGATTTTTAGGTCACTGACTGCTTTCTTTTCCTTCAACAGGGACATTGGTTCCCGTGTGAGCCAAGTGATGCTGATTTTTGCTCCTTTGCATCTCTTTGATGCGCTGGCAGTGAGTATTTGGGGGGCTTTTACTCTATCGGATATAGCAATATATGTCTTAGGCTTCTATCTTTTTAAATTAAAATTGAGTGTGATTTCATTTTTGGAGAGTGGCCTCTTGCTTGAGGCAGCCTGAGCATTTGACGGGAAGATGAGTTACTTAGGGTACATCATCTTCAGGCAGAAGCAATCTGAGTTCTCCAGCTCTCTAGCTATACCTGGTACCCGGATGCTGTGAGTGGTATCCTGGCCAAGTGGCGAGGCGGTCTCCCCGTGAACCCTCCCAGGCAGTCCATGCCATCTTTGAGCCTCCTCTAGCCGCTGTGGGACTGAGTGGATGTGAGGAGAGTGGCGTGGCTGCAGTGTTGCCGCTGGGTTTCCTCTCCTTAGGGGACCTGCGGCGGAGTGCTGAGAGGCACTGGCAAGCAAAAGATTGGTGCTATCCTGAACGCCATCGGTTACTACGTACTTGGCTTTCCCATTGGAGTGTCTCTGATGTTTGCTGCTAAGCTCGGAATAATAGGTACGTGTTTAATTCCTCAGTGACGCGCCACAAATCTCATTTGTCATATTAAGATAAATCTGGGATACAAAACAATCGACTGGACAGTTATTCCGTGTGCAGTGGGAGACATTATTTTCTCTCCCAATATTTATTCACTGCCCCTCTTACAAATACACTGGGAGTGCAGCATTGAATGACACAAATGTGCTTCTGCCCTGAAGCTGAACTACTGATCAATTATTATTCAACTAGTCCATTACCAGTGGGTTAAGCTCTACAAAAGACAGCGGGCTGCCATGAGGGTTTATGAGGAGGATGGGGAACATCTGGCCCCACTGGTGTGGAGAGCAGCTTGCCGTGTCATGTGCTAGCTCAGGCCTGAGACCCATGCATAAATTTCGAAATCAGAAGTATAAATCATCCAACTTTGTTTTTGTTTCAATTTTGTTTTGCCTATTTGCAGCTCTTTGGAATTCCCTATGAATTTGAGGATCGGCTTTTCTATTTTGGTGTGAAAGGCTATTAGAATTTCCATCTGGATTATGATGAATCTGTAGATTGCTCTGGAATTTGGGGCCATCTTAATGGTATTACACATTCCAATCTATGAACGTGGGATAGATTTCCATTTATTCATGTTTTAATTTCTTACAGTAATGTTTTTAAATTTTCAGCATTCACCTTTTTCTTCTTTGGTTAAATTTATCTCATTAGCTTGTTACAAAACAATAAAACCAAAACCAAAACCAAAAATAAACAAACAAGAAAAAACCCAGCGAGTTACCAAGCAGTGGTTCTGTTCAGTCACCAATTTTCCTAACAGATCTGTAGTCTGTGCTGTATGTCAGTGCATGCAGAATGTATTTCTGGGTACCTAAAACACAGGGTCACAGCCCAGAAGATGGGAAATTTGGTAGGGAAAGCTTATGTCACACAGACAAATGAAATGGTTGTCACTGCTTTATTGTGTGATCAATACTTCTTCAGAATCTTTTTTTTTTTTGGTCTTTTTGAGACAGAGTCTTGCTTTGCGATTCAGGCCTTGAGCTCACTTTGTAGCCCAGGCTGGTGTCAAATTTGCGATGATTCTCTAGCCTCAGTCTCCTGAGTGCTGGGATTACAGGTGTGTGCCACCACATCTGGTTTTTCTCAGAATTTGACTTCTCCACCCCTCCTATAGCCTTTTTAAATTATGGGATTAGTGGGTTTTAAGTGTTTTTGGCTTCTTGGTTTTCAGCATTGAAGCAGAAGCTAAACAGACATTGCTGCCTTCCCAGCCTCCAGAACCACCAACCAAAGTAAACCTTTTGTGCTTTATGCAGCCTCCAACATTCTCTTATAGCAAGAGAAAAAAAGACTAAAATATCACTTTCATTATGAGAACTAAGAATTGTTTATATATATATATATGAAGACTATTAATAATTGTAGGTCTTACAATTCCGAATTCCCCTTGTTATTTATGGTAGTTTTGAGTCGGTTACTTGAGTTTTTCAGGTACGCAATCACATCATTTGCAAATCTCAACTTTCTATTCTTCTTTCCAGCTTTCATACCACAGATTTCCTTTTCTTGCACAATGCCTCTAGCAGTGTAAGGAGCTGTGGTGATAGTGGAACTTATACATGACTTCAGTGTCAACACTCCCAGTGTTTCTGTACTGAATGGTGTTTGGATTTGGGGCTGAAATGTATACATATCTGTTTTAATTATGTTCTAGAAGTGCCTGTGGAATCTGTTTTATTGAATGTTTCCTACAAAAATCCTTGTGAATTTTGTCAGGTATTGCTTTGGTGCCCTTATAGATGCTCCCATGACCTTTGCCCTTAGATCTAACACAAAGATAAATGACATTAATTGGTTTCCTTGTACTCAACTATGTTGTTCCTTCAGCTGGATTCCTTTTGTTAGTACTTTATTATTTAACAATTTTTAAGTAGAGAGATGTGCAGGGCTTTGTACTTGTGTGTTTTTGTGGTCCTGGGGACTGAATCCAGGGCCTTCACACTGAGCTACGCCTTCAGCCTGATTTTCATTTTGAGAGAGGGTCTCGCTACGTTGCCCCACTGGGTTTGAACATGTGATCCTCCTGCCTCCACCTCCCAGAGCACTGGAATTACAGACATGGGCTCAGTTTAACCCACAGTTTTATTTTTTGTATATTTTTGTTAAGTTTTGTTATTAACGTTGTATTCATGTGTTAGTTACTTTTCCTTGTCCTTGGACAAAATTCTCAACACTCACAACTTAAAAGAAGAGAGGTATATTTTGGCCCATGTTTTTAAAAGAGGTTTCAGTCCACAGTCATTTGGCTTCAGGGCCAAAGTGGCACAGGCAAAAGGCCTGCCATGGAGGAAGGCTGTTCATGGCAGTCAGGAAGCAGACAGCAAAAGGAGGATTTGTGGGAGAGAGAGGTGCCCTGTCATGCCATGCACCAGTGACCCGCCTCTCCTAGGACACCCCTCTACGTAGCATGGCTTTTATCCTGAGCACCTAGACATAAAACATAACAACTCACTTCACAAAGTCAATTTGCAATCTTTCTTTCTTGTATGCCTCAGGACAACTTAAACAGTGTAAGCATGTTCTTATGGTGAAATTCTCCCATGAAACACTCATGACCTGGTATTCTGAAGCTCATTGGTAGAGTACTTGTCTACCCTGTATGAGGCACACGGTTCAATACCCAGCATTGAAAAAAAAAATTTAACTGGAGAACTGAATGAAAAGAAAATTCTTTTTGTTCTGTGTCTAACTAGTACATTTTTACCACTTAAAAATTTTCATTGTTTCCTCATTCCTTCATGAAATTCAAATTTCAGCTGATAGATGAGCTTTACTGTATCCAAACAAAAGCAGAGGATCAATTTCTTGTCTTCTTGGAAATGCTGTGATTTGGTGGCTTACTGAGTAATTATCTCCAGTCTCCTCTCTCTTTTTAGTGATGGGTCCAGGCTGGGACCATGGAATGCTTGACGCATCTCAAGCTGGAATCCAGCATTTTCTGTCTAGGGTCAGAGCTGCTGAATCATTGCACTGCCTCTCTCCGAGGCGCTCTGCTAGACACTGGTGAAACATCGTTTAGCCAAAGCAAATCCCTGCTCTTAATGAATTTCTGGGTTTTACATTTCATCTTTACTTTTTTTTTTTTTTTAAAGCAAAGACCTGCTCATGTTTTGGACTGACTTCTTTATCCAGTAATGAGTTGCTTGTATATATGAGGTGCTCAGTGATGGATTTGTGTCTAATCCTTGATCCATGCTGATCTAAAAGTTTAGGAAGGGTAATTAGTTTAACTAAAATTTGTTCCACAAGTTATGGATTATTAGGGAAGAATTTTCGTGACACAGAGGGACAAAGCTGAAGAGAATCTCAGCTCTGATACTCTTGTTATACCCGCAGGTCTCTGGTCTGGACTGACTGTTTGTGTCTTCTTCCAAGCCCTTTTCTATTTGGTGTGCATCCTGAGAACAAACTGGAGTAGAGCTGCAGAGCAGGTAACAGTGCATGTGCTGAGTTTAAAATGTGGCTCTGTTTGATCTCATGCCACCGTGAAGAACCTTTTAAGGTCAAAATGGTACAAGCCCCTGGCACCAAGATTCACAGTTACTATGCAGTGCATCTGACGTACCAGGCAATGGGATGGAGATGTACCAGTCTCATCTCAGCACATTTTCCTGTTACTTAGAGATGATTAATATCTATTAACCAGAGAGCCAATCTTTTTTTAAAAAAAAGTTCACAAACATATTTTCCTGTTTGATACAGTAATTTTAGAAAAATCATTTCTTAATTATAGTGAATACCTTTTTTTAGCTTTATTTTTTATTTTACTTTATTTTTTTGGTACTGGGGAATTGAACTCAGTACCTTGTGCTTGCCAGGCAGGTGCTGTGCTGCTGAGCTAAATCCCCAGCCCTAGGTTTATTTTTTAAAACATATTTGTCCATTCTTTACTAAAATGCAATATGTTAGGTGTCTGTGGTCTGAAAGAAGTACTTTGTGGGGGGCGGGAATATGGTAGAGCCAGGATCCTGACCATCACAAGCATCCTGAGATTGAACTGTGACCTCAATTTATGGTGAGGCGAGGTGAGCGGGATGGATGTTTGCCTTAGGTGAGGGACTCTTAACAAGGGGACACACAGATGAGTTTAGGGCTATCAGCTCTTTTCACGCAAGCTTAGCCACCCTTCAGGTTTCAAATCCATTTGGATTTGTCTAGTAGTAATGTATTATATCTTTCTTAAGTTCGTCTTGCTTTATTGAGGGAATAGAGTGGACAGGACGTTAAGTTTGATCATAAAGTGACTGTAGATGGAATACCATTTATCTTTAGATTTTATCCCACTTATCTGTTTAGGAACACCAAAGGGCACAGGTACAAATAATGTGGTAAATCTGCTACTGTAGCCACAGGGAGTTTTTGTATTGTTTTTGTGAGCTGTGCATCACAGAGGGATGACCAATGGGTTTTTCTGCCTTGTTCTTGTGGTGTGGCATTTTTAGAAATGTGAAAGGTGGCGCTGAATGTTCTAACCCTCCAAGAGTAGTTTTAGCAGTAGCTATAAGTTGAAATTTAGAGAAAAAGTATTATTTTGGCTTGATTTACGCTTCATTTCTTCATGTGACCTTGTTTTTAGGCACAGGTGCGAGCTGGGATAAAAGGAAATAAAGACCCCATCCCGACCCCAGCAGGTACTGGTGGCCACTCTTTCATATTCTTTAGCATAATGGGACCGAATAATATATTCTGTAGTAAATTTCAGTAGTACCTTTTTATTTGACTCAGCCCTGGTAAGTGCCTCACTGTTTTCTCCAAACAGATTTACCGAACCTGGAGAGAGAAGGACCTGATGGCGTGGTTTTACCTGACATTATCAGACCGCAGAGTCAGACGGCCCAGCTGGTGGCCCTGGAAGAAAACCAGTATGTGGTTCCTACCATCGGGGAGATCCTGACAATGAGACAGTTGATTTTGTATCGCGGAACAGCAGTAGCTCTTGCTCTTGCTAGCCTTGTTGTAGGAATTTTAGTGAGAGTTTTCAGCAGCCATAAGTAAACTAGAAAAAACATCACCAGTCTACAAATTAGAGATGATAATTTTATGGTATATATTGGGCAGGAAATGTGATCTTGATACTTAAACGGCGATTTTATTGTCAACTGTGGGAGGAAAGGATATCAGTGATGCTTCCTTAGTTATTCTGAGAAATTATCCACTGTACTAGAGATAAAGAAAGGAGCTATAGCTGAGAAAGAGCTGTGGCAGAGACAGGAGAGCGTCACACCCGGGCCTCGTAGATGCCAAGCACGTGCTTTCCAAGGCACAGAGCTGCCCTCATGCCCCAGGGGGCTATAATTTTAAGCATACTTTTTTGTTACCTTTATCATGCTTTCTAAACATATGCATTTGATATTCACTACTGTAAGTGTTCTTTACTCTTTCTTTTATTGAATAGTTTTCCTTCTTCAGGCTTATTAATTTCTTGCCACATAAAACATTATTACTTGTTTGTGTTTCTCTGTTACTATTCTTTGTCTTGGCAAGGAGTATACATGAAGTGCCTATTAAGTCTTATGTCATATAAAATTTCTTTAAAATAAACACTTTAAAATTTAAAATGCTGGGCTGGGGATACAGCTCAGCTGCATATGTGCCTTCCTGGCAAGTGCAAGGTCATGAGCTCAATTCCTGGTACTAATCAACAAACAAACAAACAAACAAACAAACAAAATTTAAACAGCATTCTGACAGTATTTGAGACTATAATGTCAATTTTAAAAGATCACTTACTTTTTTTTTTGTCTTGTAACAAACTTTTGTGTCAACTTTTGCCTTAATTGGAAAATAAATCAGTGTTTCCTGGCCACTCATCTCCCACAATACTGACAGCTGTGGGTTTTCCTCTAGGGAATAGATTTTTAGAGCCTTTTCTATAGAAGCTGACAAAATCAAAAGGGAAATCCTAAGCATATTCTGAAATTGAGTAACCACACAAAGCCCAGCAGGCATCTAGAGTGGAGTTTGCATATCAAAGTCCACTGTGTGAGTCAGCTATTGCTGGAACAAATATCTGAGATAATTTACATATACAGAGAAAGGTTTATCATGGCTCACAGTTTCCATGGTTTCAATCCATGGTTTCTTGGCCCCATTGCTTTTGGGCCTGTGGCGAGGCAGTGCATCATGGTAGAGTATGTCGTGGAGCAAAGCTGTTCATCTTGTAATTTGGGAACAAAGAGAAGACTGAGGAAGGACTAGGGTCTCACTATCTCCTTCAAAGGCACACCCTGAAAGACTGAAAACTTCCCACGAGGCCCTACCTCGTGAAAGTTCCACAGTTTCCTAATAGAGCTACCAGCTGGAGACTAAACCTTTAACACATCGGGCTTCAGGCAGCACTGTAGGTCTAAACTGTCATGCCCAGGTGGCCGGCACGTCCTTTGTTTCCCTCTCCTGAAGATGAACAAGCAATTTAAGATTATCAGCGATCTCTAAAAAGCTAATTATATGAAAAAGCAGTGAGAAAAAACAGCTTATTTACAAGAGCAAATTATATATCCTCAAAGAGGTAAGATAAAATATTACAACCATCATGTAGCATAGGAGACTACAGAATAACACATTGAGAGAAAAATTAAGGTAAAATTTCTATGACTTAAAACTATTTTTCAACTATGCAGTTCAGCATCATTTTATATAATTGCACAACCACCCGTGTGGTTACAAAACATTTTCATCATCCCCAAACAAGTCCCAGACATGGCATTCCTCAAACCCCTTTCCCCTCAACTCCTAGAAAGCACTATGTCTATGTCTGTGGACTTATTCTGTGTATTTTCCTGTTGGAAAATTTTTTGAGAGTCATCCATGTAGTAGCATATATGGGAACTTGTTTCCTTACTTACAGCTAAATGATATTTTGTTGTATGATAAACTTCTTTTTGTTCATGTATTTATCCGTTGATAGAAATATACATCGTTTCCATCTTTCTGCTCTAGTTTTCAGCTAAGTCTTGAAGTTTTCTTTCCTTTATGGATCATTCATTGCTAAAGCATAGAGATGCTACTGATTTTGTATGTGAATTTGTAGATTTGTTTATTATGTCTGACAGTTTGTAGACTCAGGAGAGTTTTCTACAAATGTAATTGCCTGTTTCAAATTTCCAATACTATTTTGGCAATTGGGCAAGAAAAAGAATAAAAGGCCTCCAAATTGTAATGTTCACAGATGACAGAATCTTATTTCAATGGCATAAAGACAGACATACAGACAAAGGGCAAAATTGGGAGCCCATAAAAGAACCACAGCTTTTGGGGTCAAATGACTTCACACACAAATGGCAAGACCGTTCAGTGGGAAAAAGGAAAGTCTAAACTATTCTTGTTCCATAGACAGCCTTTTGGGGGCACTTCCACCTGCAATGGATATTCTTGGATATGTATCTGGCATTTATGTGTGTTTTCCAAAATGTTTATATAAATTAGTATTCATTCCAGCAAGCCATGTTATTCTACATCTGTGAGTAATCTTGCTATTGCTAGACTTTCTAATTTTTGGCAGGTTGATGGCTGCCTTAGTATTCATTTTCTTAATTGCAAAGGTAATGTATATCAACATATTTTTTTGTGTAGCTTCCTAAGCAAAGGAATATGAATATATTTTTATTTCCTGTATTTCTAAAGCAACAGCATAGTACATTACCTTGCTTTTTTCATTTAACAATGCACCCTAGATATGCTTACCTCTCTGTCTACTGAAAGCTTTTCTATTTTATTTCATTGCCACATGATATTCCACTATGGTTTTTGTAACCAGACCTTGACACACATGGACTAGATCCAAGTTTTTGCTATCATAAACAATGCTGATATTGTATATCTATTTGTTCATTGATTTTTCTGAGTCATAATGACTCATGATGACAAGAAGTTTGTCCCTAGCTGCTGGTATGCACCACAGACCCTGTAACAGCCTGCCATACAGCACATGCTAATGAATATTTGTTGCATAAATGAGTGAATAACACACCCTCAAACACTATATTCTCAGTGCTGTTACACCACCCACCTTTTCAGTTTTTTCCACTGCTCACAGTTTGTATCATATTGGAAGGATTTAAAAGGATCTCTTTGATGAAGCAAGAACTAGGCAAATCTAAGCAACTCATCCACTTCTTTATAGATAGTGCTACAGTGAATGACCTGCCTAGTTTCACAGGTAGTGCTCCTATGGGCAGATGCATATATTTTGCAGGGATATAATTTTCGTAAGAGGACTTTCTGTGTCAAACTAAATGTGTAATTTTGATAGATTATTGCCAAGTTACCTTCTAAGAGTACGTCCAGTGACAGTGTATAAAGATCACTGTTATCATCACAACTTTGCCAACAGATGATGTTGGGAAACTTTTGGATTTTGCTGAGCTAATAGGTAAGAAGTGCCAATTCAGGGTGCTTTTAACTTGCATGTCTCTTATTAAGAGTAAAGTTGAGCACCATTTTTGTATGTGAATTCTTTTTTCTGTAACCTGATCGTGTCCTTTGCCCATTTCCCTATTAGTTTGTTGATCTTTTCTTCTTGATATTTAGAAGTGCTATGGAAGGAAAACTTGAATGTATAGTAACTTTATCCACTATTCTGGTTTAAGTCTAAACTGTCCTCCAATTGTCTCACGTGCTTGGAAGGTGACTGGATCATGAGGTCACGTAGCTGGCTTGCTGTTAGGAGACAGAGTCTGCTTGGAGGTAGATCAGTGAGTGTATGACCTGGAAGGTTATATTCTTGTCCCTGACTTCTTCTGTCTTGATTACTTTTCTCTTGTTGAAAAAAAAATACCTGATTCCCAAAGTGAAGCACGGGAAGGTTTATTTCTTACAGTTTTGGGGGTTTCAGTCCACACCCAGCTGGCTCCAAGGCAGGATGGCATGGTGGGACAGCTATTCGTGGCCCCTACAAACAGCAAGTGTGAATGGAGCAAAAGAGGAAAGACACACCTTCTTCCCACCCTTACACTGTATGCTGGCTCCACCCTGGGCAGATGTAGCACTCACACCACCAATCCCAGTGCTAGACAGTGAACCAATCACAAACACTGGACTCAGCTGCATCCATGATTGCATGAGGCTTGGGGGCCATCTGAACATAAACCATAACAGCTCTCTTCTCTCTCTGTCATCAGTTGAATGCTTCCTTGGCTACGCCCCTCTGCCATCCTTTTCCTGCCTTAGTGCCAACCATGGATTAAAATCATGAACCAAAATAAACTTCTCTTCGTCTTTAACTTGTGTCAGATATTTTATTCCAGTGAAAGGAAAGTGACTAAGGTGCCAGCTAATAAATATGGCTTTATCTGTATCCTGGAATCCAAACTATTTTACAGGAAAATCTATTCCTTTTGGTAAGTAGAAGAGAGGTAAAAGAGGAGTAGAAGCTTTTCCTTCATTTTATAACCTAATATAAGTAAAAAAAACCCCAATAAATATGTGTTGTATTCAAAAAGCAGAATGAAGAAGAAGAGAGAAATGAAAATTTCAGAGGTGAGAGAGATTAGATAAAAATGGATAGTGAGATGATGATACACACCTGTAATCTCAATTCTCTGGGGGGCTGAGGCAAGAAGATGGCAAGTTGGAGCCCAGCTTGGGAAACTGATCAAACCCTGCCTCAAGGTGAAAAACAAGAAGAGATAGGAAGATAGTTCAATATGAAGACCTTGTATTCCATCCCCAGTACCACAAAAAAAGAAAGAAAAAGAAAGAAAGAAAGAAAGAAAGAGAGAAAGAAAAGAAAGAAAAAGGAAGGAAGGAAGGAAGGAAAGGCCAGACAGACAGAAAAAGAGACTGTACTGTATAAATTTTCTCTCTGCTCTGATTCCTACTGAAATGATAGAAACTACCTTTAGCATGCCAGCATTCCTATCTGACAAAAAAACTGAAACAGAAAAGTAGAGAAGGACAAACCATAGTCCCTGCCACAAGTGCCCGAAGAAACTTGCAACAAAATCCCAGAATTAAATGCCAATAAAGGATTCTTGGAGAAAACATCAGGTGAATAATTTTAAAATTCTATTTGAAGGAATTGAGACAATCAGGCTTTTCTGCCTCCTCAGTGTTTTGAGCTGATAGTAGCAGCCACTTTCACTGTGATGAATCCCTGGAAACTATTTTTTCAATAAAATAAGCTCTCAACCAGAGGACCGCTCATGCCTTAAGTGTCAGGGCAGGAAGAGCCGAGTTCATGGTGAGTGTGGAAACACGAGGAACCAGCTAGTACTAACTTCAGCCTAACCAGTGCAATAAGACAAGGATAAGATGCAAATATGGGAAAACAGACGACAGTATCACTGAATACAGTAAGACCACCTACCTAGAAAATGCAGAAAAGCTAAAAGTTATTAGAAATAAGGGTTTCAGAAAGCTCATTAGGAAGTTCACTTCCCATTAATCAATAGCTTTCCTGTATTTCAATTTTAATTAGGAATTTTAATTAAAAATAAACTAACAATAGTAAAAAAACCAATAGAAAAATCTAATCACTTAAGAAATAGATCTAGAAAGAAGTAGGCTGAATCCACGGGAATCTGTACAAGCTGCTAGCCTGCCGATTCTCTCGTGGGCATGAGGCACTCCCCGCCCTCCCTACCCTCTGCCCCTGTCCAGTTCCTCTGTCTCTCTGGCCAGATTTGTGTGCGGTCCTCGCTGACAGAGGCCTTGGCCTCTGCAGGATATTTCTGTTCCCAAGATCCAAGAAAATAGAACTGAGATCAATTCTACGTTTATGGAGTCCCAGTGTCTGCTTGGGGCGCACACCCTGTTTTGGGGCTCCTCTGCCTTGTTATTATCTTCCCTTCCTGTTGGCATCCTTGCTGGGCCACAAACTCAAAGCACAGTATGCAACAACAACAGCTGTTCACGGATTGTGATCCCGCTTTCACAATTATGTAAACCTGTAACACTATATATGAATATGTATGTGTCTCTTTCCCGGTGGATCTGTTTTTCTGTGTGACACCTGATGCATACAGTACACTTCAAAGGTCAAGCATAACACTATGAGTTATACTATATGGGCCAGTGTGTGCTCTTAGCAAATAGGTCATTGTCGATCAGTTGAACCAGAAAAGAGAATATTTCTGAAAAATTACGGAAAGTTTCCATGTCTCAGTCTTTGATGTTTCAGAATTATAAATGTCAATAATCCAGGTTTCATAGTCTAGGGAACCTATGACTTACATGTTGCAGCCAACTGTTTGTTATTCTTGAAAGTTCTAAAAGGGTTGCCATCATTGAGAATTACCAAGTGCTAATTCAACCCCCTCGCCCACTTTCTGGCTTTATCTCAGGCAGTACGCTCATTACGTGAACAGCGGGTCAGGGTTACCACAGCACCACCGTTAGGCACTTGATTCCACATACTGACTGCCAGCTATTAACTCTGAGTATTTAAACAGTTTACTTACTTTGCTCGGTTTGCCCCACTTTAAGACACAGTGTTTCCATATTGCCCACACTTTAATGCTCTTAGCAGGTTTGCCCTTTTACAAATGGGACTGTTTTCATCTTTTTCAGTTTTAATAGTTTTTTAATATATTTTGGATGAATAGTACTTTATCATATTTTTATAAAAATTTAAACTCTTTGACTTGTCTTTTCATTCTATTAAAGTGTTACCCACAGAATAAATGTTTCTAGTTTTAGTGAAGTCCTACTTACACATTTTTTTCTTCCATGAATTGTGCTTTTAGTTTTTTCTCTAAAAAGTCATCACCATACCCAGGGTCACCTAAATTTTCTCTCGTGCTGTCTTCTAGGAGGTTTATGGTGTTACATTTCACATTTAGGTCTATGGCCCACTTTGACTTAGTTTTTGTTACCGGTGTAAGATTTTTCTGTAGATACCTTTCTGCTTCCTCACAAGTTCAAAGGCGACCTTTTCTCCACTAAATTGGTTTTGCCCCTTTGTCAAAGATAGTTGATGGTTTATTTAGGGATATTATATTGTTTCATTAATATTTTGGTATATTCTGTTATATAAATTATATATTAGAGTTTTTCCATTGTTGTTACAAAGTAACCAGTACCAAAAATTTAAAGGAGGAAAGGGCTTTGTTTTTCAGAGGATTCAGTTCGTGGTATCCTGGCTCCAAGGCAGGAACATCATGGCAGAAGGACATGGCACAGCAAGGCTGCTGAGCTCCT